TCACATTGAACAAACTAACACAAAAAAAACATTAGAGTCCAGATAACATTTTGGTAAATCTACATTGTACTCCTTCAAAGTCATTATCCTTCCTAAGTTGTGTGCCAAGGACTACTCACTGTACAGCCGGTATGGTCTAATGGAGGCTTTGTATAATTGAAACATCACCCTTGCCCAAAGAAAAGTAAGCCTGTGTTCTGCTGTTAGAAGCTATTTGAACACATTTCTTCACTGTGGATTCTCATGCTGCAGTGACACTTACTTTTGTACAAGATTTTGGCCAAATTTTTTGGCAAAACAATGGTGAGGCTATTGGCACTTGCTCCCCATTATTCGAGTATTAATGATGCAGCAACATTCAGATAAGGAACAGATACAGGGTTAAACATGGAAATCCAACAGTTGCTCTCGATGTTGTGTCTCCCCACGATTAGCTGGGCAAAAGCAACATCTCACTCTCTGTCTTGCCAGTGTTTTCAAAGTCCATACGGTCTAAACTCACCAGAGAAAGCTAGAGTTGAACTGAAGTTACACAACTATCTTAGCCTGGCACCATATGTGGTCCACACATATTTAATTAAGACTGGATTCAGACATAGCTGATTATCCTTTTTCCTGAAAGCTAGTAAAATCTTTACAACTGCATGAACGGTAAAGCAGCTAGCCAGCAATATAATTCCTGTGTCGGCAATAATTCCGAAAAAGAAATTGAGCCATACATTCTTGCATTGAAAGGTCAAACCAGCTGTACAGTATCAATGACAGCAAGTTATCAATTTGGGGGCCATTCACTCTCAAATCCCTAGTTTCACTTTTCCCTCAAAATATTTACTCATTTCAAACTTACTCATTCATCCAACTGTTCTTGCTGTTTGATCAAAAAGATTGAATCTGCTATTCTGCAAGGAAATAAATGGCAGGCTTTAACCTTTAACAGGCTCCAGCTGCTTTGAGACGAGTGTGTTTATGAATATGTACAGCAGCGGTTCATTGACTCTCGCACTGAGATTTTTCAAATTTAGTTTACATAATGTACCACCGAACCACTTAGCAGCCCTGAACAACTGAAAGCCATTGCCAAAGGGAATAACTGAGAGCAGAGTTTAACTGTCTCAGAATGTCTCCACATTGTATGATTCTTCAATGTATGAACTAGAAGCCAAAGGATGCGGCTGAATTTTAGCTTAGCAACCATTGCCCACACAAGGGTAATATTTAATGAACAACATTAGCCCCATTTAGTCCAAGGTTGACGAATGGATATCCACTAGGCCATGCACACAAGGTCATGTTAATTGTCGATCAGCACCCTCACCTCCCAATCAGAAGGTTGGAGGTTCAAATCTCACATCAGAAACTTGAGCATTAAAGTCGAGACTGATACAGTATTGAAGGAGTGTTTTGCTATTACAGCTGCCATCTTGCAGATGAAATCTAGTACCTTGTCAGTGGATGGAAAAGAACCTCATGATTCTCTGGCCAATATTTATTCCAAACTAATTTTTCTTAAAAATACAGCTTATCCATCCCAAATCATTGTTACTGTCTGTGTGCAAATTGGTCGCTATTTGCCCCAGTTCCCACAACAACGACACTCCAAAAGTATTTCATTAGCTGCAAAACACTAAAGTGTATTCTGAAGTTGCCAGGGGTGCTACAAAAAGTAGGTATTTTTGAATAAACACATTTGTATTTTGTATAAGCAAATATTTATTTTGAATAAACAACATAAATAATAAACATTACTTCTTCACCTCCAGAGATTGCAACAGTAATTGTATGTCAAAAAGCATCTTGTCTGTTCATAGTATTCTGTCACTCAAAAAACCTACACTGTAGTTACAAGAATATTTTGAAAATAAATTTAGAAACTAATTGTTGAGCCTTTCAACCTCAGAACAGCCATGTTCTAGTGACCAGTCATAAATATATTGTACTTCAAGGCCTATTTCTTCCTAGTCTTTTATTTAAAACACAGCTAGAAATATTGTCAAATGATTTAAATTGAAAGAGAAGCCGCACCAGATTTTAGAAGTATTTGATATTTAAAGCCTACTTAAATCTGTTTTTGGAGTCTTTCCAGACGTTTGCAGTATAATAATACCAAAGGTTTATTTTCCTTTTTCTTAAAAGTCAATATGTCTCTGAGAATTGATGGTTCAATCTTAGTTGCTTCAATCCTTCTTTGTTTTTTATTGGCGAATGTTGAAATTTATGGATTTCAAATAAGCAACCAATGCAGTTGCAATGTCTGCTGTTTCTCAATGCCACATTTGAATTTTAATGTCTGTTTGCTGTAAGGGGATCCTGTACCATTGACATATCATGCATTGGATGCTCTAGTGATTCTGCAGCAATCTAATACTGTAACAATCTCCATTACAGTTTGTGTCCGATATTGCTCACAGCACCTTCTCTGCATTAATGGCCAAATCAAACAAACTGCTTATAATGTCCTTTTTCTGTTACAGTTATTTTTGTAAAACTCCCAATGCAGAGTGGAAGATAGAACCGCTGTGTACAAATAAAAGTCTATATTTAACTTACAATGTTATGCTTTGAGTGACCGTATGTACTCATGTGAAAGTTGAGTTTCTGAGACCGTATGTTTAGCCAGGTTTTTAGGGGATTGACTTTTACATGAGCATTATTTTGGAGGGGTAGCAATCCACCCTCTCCCATCTCTTTGCTTTCATAGAGTTGCCAAGTCATAGACTGTTCCTGACAACCCAAACCCAAAACCAGTGCAAATATTTTTAACATTGAATTTTTATTTATAAAATAATAACCTTAGTGGAGATAAACATTCAGTGCCTAAACCTGGTACAGCATCTAGGGCTGGATTTGAAATTTGTGAGGCCTCATTTCTTACTCAGGGCAAATATTCAATTAGATCTGCAAGAAGCTGAGGGTCCATTTTATTTCTTATTTACCCATTTTACAACTTTACTTTCCACGTGTAACTATGCAATAGATTTTTCTCTGTTTGCATGTGTATTTTTAGGCATCTACCTCAGCTACGTAGAAAGTTTTCTCCAATCCCTAACATTCTTTTCCCATATCTTGAATTTTCTCAACTATTTGTCTGCTCTGCAGTCTCATCAAATTTAAGAGTGAACTGGGGGCTGTGCATCTGTTGTATGTTTTTAATACCATGGTAGCATTTTAGAGAACAGGATTGATGAGAATGCATCATGTACCAATGAGGTTGTAGCCTTGGCATCATGTGATGTTGTGCTCAGACTCGAGGAGGGGACCAGTCACTTTCAGTGCGTGCTATCCTATGACTCCGTCAATGAATAGTTTTTCACCTGGACAAGTTTGACTTTAGCAATGAGTGCATGACATTTTAAAGAGATTTCTTTGGTTTAAAGCCAGGGTTGACTTGCATGAGATCGAGCATTACTTGAGTATTTACAATTAGAACTTTTAACTCAAATCTCTCTGGCAACTCTTTGTTAGGAGGGCATTGTCTGAATTTTAAAATTTTCATCAACCTTTCAAACCTCTCGATGGTTGTGCCTATTCCCTATCTCTCTATTTTTACAGTCTTTTGAGATCTCTGTACTCCTCCAATTCTGGTTACTTACACATTCGCAATTTTAATTGCTCCATCATTGACAGTCATGTCTTCAGCTAACTTGGGCTCGGTGCTCTGAAATTCCCTTTTAAACCTCTCCATTCATTATCCCTCTCTACACCTTTAAGGTGCTCTTTGTTGACTTACTTCATCGACTTGTTCTTGTTCACCTAACCTGATATTATCTCTTGTGATTTGGTTGGCATTTTTAGTTCCTATCACAGATTGCACAGTATGGAGCTGGAAGAATACAGCAGGCCAGGCAGCATCAGAGGAGCAGGAAAGCTGATGTTTCAGGTCAGGACCCTTCTTCAGAAATAGGGGAGGGGGAAGGGAGCTCAGAAATAAATAGAGAGAGGAGGGGTGAGGCTGGGGAAGGTGGGTGGCATGGTGATAGGTGAGTGCAGGTAAGGAGTGGTGGGGATTGGTTAGTGGGATGGGTGTGGTGGATAGGTGAGAGAGAAGATGGACAGGTTGTGTCAGGCCAAGGAGGCGGGGATGAGAGGGAGGTTTGGTCATGGGATGAGGCCAGGGTTGGGGAGATTTTGAAGTGAGAGCAGGCCGGTGAGGCTGCAGGAGTGAGAGCGGGCCAGTGAGGCAGTGGGAGTGAGAGCGGGGTGGTGAGGCAGTGGGAGTGAGGCAGCGGGAGTGAGAGCAGGCCGGTGAGGCAGCAGGAGTGAGAGTGGGGTGGTGAGGCAGCGGGAGTGAGAGTGGGGTGGTGAGGCAGTGGGAGTGAGAGCGGGCCAGTGAGGCTGCGGGAGTGAGAGTAGGCCGGTGAGGCAGCGGGAGTGAGAGCGGGGTGGTGAGGCAGCGGGAGTGA